GAAAAAAGACAGAGGCCTAGCTTTACATGATTATAGGGTTGTTTTCTGGTTCTTTTCTTTATCAGATGGACAGAGCAAGGGCTGGGCAAACAATAGGAAATGAAGGAGGTCATTTTCTTATGGAACTGGCTGGTTATAAGCAGAGTACAAGAAAGGGGAGTGCCACTCATTCAGGGCAGGAATTGTCTCCGATCTGTGTTTACACAGTGCTCAGCACAATCCCTGTTGGGGGCCTATGGGCACTCCCAGAATATTTAAATATAATAAAAATAATATAATATATCAAAAGCAGAACATCAGAGCCGAGAACCAACACAACTATTGTCGAAAGCATTCTTCCCTTGTAATTGCAAGCCTTTTCAAACTAGAGGTGTCCTCTGTTACATAATGTAGTGGTCCATGAAATAAACTTCGAATACCTGGTGAGAATAGCTTCTACTATCTAAACTGTCAGACATAATACTTTGCTACTGATCGGTCAACGCTGCAGAATTGATTCTATTTTATGTATGTATGTGCAGTGTTTTTGAATGCTTGCTTAAAAATGGCAGACTGTGTTTAAAAAACAGTGGGGCGATGGATTAATAACGAGATTCCCCCAAAAGCAGAAATGTAAGGAAATGTACAAAGCTTATTGCAACAACCAGAAATCACTGGGCATTCTATAGCTCCCCGCAAACTAGTCTCATAGCGATCTAACTCCATTGAATTTAGCGGTGTTACTCCAGATTTACACCAGTGTAGGTGGGATCAGTATCCGGGCCAACGATTCTCTAATACTGGCTTTGTTTCTTTTTGCATACATCACCATAGACAGCACATCATCAGTTCTTACAGCACTGAATAAAAAGCCCCACCCTCCAATGCAATTTTCTTGTCATCTCGACTGTTTAATTAAGTAGGAAGCTCGTGTGAAACGGCAGCTTGTGAGCCTTACTTTCTTCCCCAGTGGAAGTAACAGTAATAGATACTTTATCCAGAAATATACCATACGCCAGTCAAATCTGGAACTGAATTCCATTTACAATGGCCTTATTCTTGTTGAACAGTGGGTTAATATCCTGATTTAACAGGGTCCTTTTGTGCATAACTTCAAGCATGGGAGTAGTCCTAGTGAAGTCAGCAGGACTATAGAGATGCTTGAAGCTGTGCATATGCTCAAGTACTCTGCCATATCGCAATCTGCATTGGAAATGTCTGTGCCCGTCACACTGCTATAAAACTGGTTGGAGAGAAGAATCAGGCCCCTTGTATCAAACCATTTGATGCTACCTCACAAACACTGTCTAACTGCTTCTTAAGTGCTATGCTAATTTGATAAGCACAGACATCCATGGGACTGTGGGTATCTAGTCTAGTTTAGTCAGACTGGTGTAAATCTGGAGTAACACTACTGAAGTCAATGGATTGTTTTAAAAGGAGACCTTTTATTTTGATCAGTATTTTTGTGTGTTCTACTTAGATGTCTCCTGCCTGAAAACGTTTGTTGTCTTTATCCACCTAATTGTGCCTCCTCTTAAATTAGATTGGAAGCTCTACCGATGCTGTGTACACGCCTAGTACAATGGGGCCACAATCCTGATTGGGGCTTCCGGGTACTGCAGTAGCACAAATAACAGAGGGGAACAAATCCCAGGTCACTTTTAAACTGTATTGCGCTGATGGTCTTTTATTTTCTTCCACTCCGGCTACTGAATTGAACTACATTGAACTATGTGCTAGCTCTGAGCACAGATAGAATAAACTGGATAAAGACAATATTTCAGTGCAGCTTCACACATTGGCTCTTCCCTCTCAAATTCCATTTTTAACGTGCATTTTATAAGGCTGGCATCTCTACCCATCAGCAGTTAGAATTACAATGAGGCTGGGCATACTTGGCTTGAATCAATAAGGATGCTCATCTAGGTTAATAAGAATAAATTATTGTTGCACTGGAAACAATGTACTGTTGCAACAAATAAAGTGCTCTAAGAATAGTCATTTGATATTTATAGGTGAGCTCAGTGCATGTGTTTTATTATCTACTACTTGGGCCCTCTCCTAATGGCGTGGTTTCTTTTCCCACATCCTTATTAGCTCAGTTACGTAGAATTGCTGTGAGAACACCCTTTGTATAAAGTTAATTTATGCTACTTCAGTCTGGCTTCTTTTTTCTACTGAAGTCCATTATAAATATATAATAGTCAAATTCCACTGACTTCAGTGGCAGCAGAGTTCGGACAGTAACAAGAGCTTTTGAAAATCCAACCCAAGATAATCAACTTCTAGTGACCCTATCTCAAATAAGTTTAGTGATCTCAGACTAGTTCCTATTGTTCATATTAATTCCAGTTTAAAAAAAAAAAAGAGGCCCACAGGATCCACAGTTGCACCAAATCTCTGTTTATTTTTGTTTATCCTCCAATCCCCAGAATAATTTAGAGTGGTCTCAAGGCTGCTCTAAGTTATGCATAGTTGCAGTGGCTCCCAAGAGGCCTTTATGTAGCCATGTTGTGCATTCCAGCCACCCTATGGTAAAGCCAGGAGGGGAGGGTGTAGAGAGTTGCATTCCTCCATGCCAGGGGACTCCTCAACTGCCTACCTATGGAGGCTTTACGGTCCTGTTACATCTCCAGAGCGTGGGTCAGGATTTAGCCCAGAAAATTGAGCTTCATTTTCCAGTGTGGATGCCTCAGTTGCATCCACACACAAAAAAATGTGTGTGTGAGTGTTGGCTAGTTACATAAGTTGGCACCAAGGGATAAACACAGTGCCATTGAAGTCCAAGGGAGCAGGATCATGCTTGGGAGCCTTTTCTTCACTTGTAAAAAGGTGTGTTCTTAAGCTGAGTTAGCAAAATCAAGGTACAATCCTAGGGAAGACAAGGCTGTGTGTAGTGTTCACATGTGCTAGCAGGTCAAGGTAAAGATTATGGGAGAGCTTAACCTGCCAGTGTGTATGAAAGTACAGACTGCCTCGTCTTCACTAGGATTTTACCTCCTGTTAGGTGTCTTGAGTTAGCTAACTTAAGAACACACCGTTTATTTCCTGATGACAATAAAGCCTAGGTGTTGTTACCAGCTTTGTCCGTTACTTTGCGGTATGCTCCTTTTTGGGTTACTCTTCTGGGAGGGGGTTTCTGTGCTTCTATCAATGTACTGCTTGTGTCACTTGTGTTCTCATATGTGTCACTTGTGTTCTCATTCTCCCTGCTGCAAGTCCCCTCCCAATGGAGCTATCCTGCAGGACCTAGGTTCCCCAGGGCTGGGTTCTTCCAGCCTCAGAATCAGACGAACACACACACACGTGCACACACAACAGAGTGAATCTGAGAGGACTGGGTTAATCAGCACTTCCAAGCTGCCACCCTCATAGGCCCTTGGACTCAGCAGGCTGCGTCAAGCAGAACCTCCAAGCTGTCACCCACATTTGCCACGGGCACCGCACCGGAATAGAGCACGCCGGAGCAGGCTGGGTTGAGCAGCACTTCCAAGCTGCCACCCTCATATGCCCCAGGTTCAGCACATCCCTATCCCGACTTTCACGTTACATTGTTCTGGTAGTAACCCACTTGATGAGCAAACCCCACAGGATTTTTGGGCGCTGCAGAAATATTTTAGCTTAGGTACGAGGAGCATTGTTGCAGAGTGAATGAGGAAACCAAAAAACACGCACAAGGGGGAGAGAGAGAGAGGCAACCAGCTTAATCATGAAAGTTATTTATTGCCAGGTAATAACCACTGGGGAGCCAAACAAACAAAACAGTTATAATATTAAATCTAACTTAAACTTGATTATAAAAGTCAGGTTTAGAAAACTATAGCTGATCACACAAGTCAGAGTCAGAAGGCTACACCTAGAGAGAGAGAGAGCTGGGTTCTCACCGCTCTGTGAAGCTTGAATCGATCGGGGGCCCCACGTGGTATAGCTGAGGGTCTGGAGTGCTGGAGACAGGCAGAGCCCACAGCACTATCAGTCAGGAGAAGGTGAAGTCCCAGTGGAACTGATGCAGATTTTGGATTCAGGCATCAGAGCATTTAGCTGAGCATGGGTAGGGGCTTTTGTAGAGAAACAACAGTGGTTCAAGGGAGAACACTAGATTTGTTTATAAAAAAGAAAAGGAGGACTTATGGCACCTTAGAGACTAACAGATTTATTTGAGCATAAGCTTTCGTGAGCTACAGCTCACTTCATCGGATGCTGTAGCTCACAAAAGCTTATGCTCAAATAAATTTGTTAGTTTCTAAGGTGCCACAAGTCCTCCTTTTCTTTTTGCGGATACAGACTGACAGGGCTGCTACTCTGAAACCTGAGATTTGTTTATGTGTAAACTGATGTCTCAAGGGAGTATCCCAAAGTTGTTTTGTTAAAGTTAGACAATGGGAGCTGACCACTTCTGCCTATGGGCGGTGTTCCTTGGAGGGAGCTCACAATGCAATTAGGGAGCTTCACTATTTTGGATACCAATAAAGGATTTATTACTAGAATTGGTCTGATAACTACTGAGCTGGGTGTGTGCAGGCATGGGTTCATTAACATCTGGAGCAGAGATCCCCCATCATGCAGTGCTTCGCTGCTTTTCTGGTCCCTGAGTTCTGTGCGGTTCTTGCCTTGGAATCTCTGTTCTCCATTCTGTATGCTAATGGGGATGCCTCCTTGTTCCATCTTTGATGCAAATGAGGCTAGGGAAGTTGCCTTAATCCTGTCGCCCTTATCCCAGGGGCTTAGGTGTGTCTCCCACTGCCTTTTCATTGCTTTTTGTAAGTCTTCGTTCTGATCGGCTTTGGTTCAAGCGGAGGCTGGGTCTGGGGGGGAGCTCTTTCGTGAGTCAGACAGTCTGGGTACTGCACTCTGGCTCCCCAAGAACACAGAGCTGACAGGTAACAGTGTGTAAGTGCAATGTTCTGTAGGTACACTGGTGCAGAAGTATTGTTTATGGCCTTGATTCAGGCATCCACCTTTGAACATGTGTCCTTACGATTCTTAAACTTCCCTTTCTTTTTTTCCCGCTGCTACAGATTTTTATCGGCGAGATCTCCATGTATTTTATAAAATCAACCCGAGAAACCCTGATTGTCCAGGAGAAAACTATCTTAACCGGAGAGTGCTGTTACCTGAACCCATTACTACGAAGAATTATACGGTTTATAGGTAAGTGTCCATAAACACAGAGAGTTTTGCCCCTGCTTGCGGAAACAAAAGAAACAAAAGAACACCGACTTCTTAAGATCTACAGCACAAAACTAATTAAGCTGTGAAATCTTTGCAGGCTTCTTCCACCTTAGAGGGATAGTCCCCCTCAGGACTTGCAAGGTAATGTTTAAAATGTGCGAAATCACACTGTATAGAGCTGATTTATATGCAATTTTGCTAGGTTTAATGCTTCTCATGGACCCTGGAACCAAGGTTATGCCCATTAAATCCTTATCTGAATATTTCTATCATTGATATTACAAATTACAATTACTTACAATTTTTTACTCAACAGCCTATCTCTTCACCCTTTTTTTCTCCAAATATAAATTAACCTGAGAAGCGCCAATATGTAATAATCAGCTGAGCTGAACCAACAAACAAACCAAACATAGAGACCCCGGACATAATATTCCTCTCATTTTTCATTAGAGACTTTATTAAGTTAATTGCTAAGGAACTGGTGAAAAAAATGCAACTTCCAAACACTTTGAAGGCTTCCTCTGGTGGCATTTACCAGCAGCTATGTTTAGTTCATGAATTTCGCTTAATGGAAAAGTTAACTTAGCAGCTGTCACTGGGAATCATCCTATAGTTGTTTCAGAGTGGGAAGAATAACACAGTCGCTTGCACTGTAAAGCATGGCAAACTGACTGAGGGCTAGGTTATCCCACCTGGGGGAGTGAGAACCCCTTTCACCCCCCCACCCCACCCTCGCCCCACCTCTTGGACTCCTTGCATGGCCTACCACAATGTACAAAGTGGGCATGTACAAAGTTAGCAGAGCTACTTGCCCACTTCCTCCCTCCCTGGACCAAGTATGTGGGAAGTGGGCAGCTAGAGACAGGGAATGGGCACAGCCTTGGCTCCACGTCCCCTACTCACTGGTCAGAGTAGCTGAACCAGCACACGGGTGGGGGAATATTAGTTTATTGCTGGTATAAGCCAGCAGTAAATCCTATGTCCCATGGAACAAGAGCAGGAACTGAGAGTCAGAGGAGACGCACCACTCCCTGGTCAGGGCTTTGCCTAAAGTCATAATCTAGCTCAAAGGAAATGAGGCTTGAAAAATTAGTGGGGGTTTCCCCCTCCCCCTCGCAATTCTTTACAGTTTTGCTTGGAAACGAAAGGGTGATGTGCTGGTGGTGACGGGCTGCATTGTTCTAATTAGACAACATCCTGGTTGGGAGGACTGTGCTTCATGGACCCTTTATTCCTCCTTGAGCTCTCCTTGTGAAGCTGCTCGGTCTTCTGCACTCACTGATGCAGAAGGGGCATGGTCCTACCTCCTCTTCTGCTGCCTCTGGGGCACTTTGCACCACCAGGGGCAAACTGAGAGAGCAATCTTTATGCAGGGATTGCTCCTGAGAGAGAGCACGGGGGAGGGGTGGAAGAGACGCCTTGCACCTTCTCCCACTCTACACCCCCCCTAGACACAAGGAATAGGCACGTCTGACCCTCAGCATGGCACTTCTCTGATCAGTTCTTCAGATGTACCGTGTAGGAAAATAAAAGATCAGGGAGCTTTCATTAAAAACCAAATACCCTTGAAGTTCAGCTAGTCTCTAGCTCACATTAATGGGCAGTAAACTGCCATTAACAGGGAGCAGGAAGCTGGCTGCCATTTGGGCACTCAGAGCTGTTTTGTGTCCCAGCATTCTCAGCGTGTGACAATAGACTGATCAAATATTCTCGCCTGTGGGGCCAGCACTAAAAGAGCTCAGACGAACGAGGCAAAACATTTGCTGTGTGTGTTTTCTTATAGGCCGCTCTCCCTGTGTGTAGCCTTCATTTTAATTAGCTTTATTCCTGAGCATTTGCTCTAGCCATTTCTCATCTGGAAAAAAAAATTACAGCTGTGTACAGTGAAGCCTCTGAGAGCAGCAAAATATTAACTTCTCCACACAAATCAGTCTCAGCTCTGCAGGACTGTTTGTTTCCAGAGGGAGAGGAAGTTAACCTGGTCATAAATTGCTTTAAACATGGGTCTTGTTATAAACAGGGGAGGCATATGCTGTAAGCTGGGGGTGACCTTGGTTTGCCCTCCCAGACTTTTGGGCAGCTGCCAAGGGTGGTAGATTTCTGGACAGGTGCATAGGGTGGCAGATTTGCCTGGCCACCCTTCCATTGTGACAGAGGGCTGGTTGGGCCAAATTTGAGTGGCATGGCAACCCCTCGCTCTAGGTCTCAATGCCACTCACTCAAATTGGGCCCAGCTATCCTTCCCTCATAGCAGGAGGACAGCCAGGCCAAATCTGCCACCTAAGCCCTATGAGGAGAGGGAAGCAGACTGTCTTGAGTGACTTCTGCTGTCTCACTGGCCGGATAAGAAGCAGCACTGCTGGCCAGGGCCAGAGCTGGGTGTGGCACGAGCCAGGCCCCAACCCTGACCCAGGCCAGCCATCAGTAAGAGACACGTGCACATGACCTGCTGCCCCTTCCTCACTCTAACCTCAGGAAGGAATCGGTCCACTAACACCCTTTGAGCAGCCACGGGCTCAGTGGGGAATCAGAAGCAGGGGTGTTGACACAATTTCACCCCCTCCCCCGAATGTTTCTGAACTGACCCCCTGGTTTTAAAGTGCGATTTCTTTCACCCTGATGGTGGAAGAAGATCTTTTTAAGGAGCATCCTTGTTTCCCCTGCAGAATGTAAGAAATGGAGCTATTTGAGAAATGGGGTCCCTCCCCCTCAAAAAATCATGAAATGGTTTTCCAAAATTTCACTTTTTTAATCAAAATTCCAAATTTTGATGTAAAATTTCATCTAGCTCTAATAAGAGCTAGATATTGAGTGGTGATAGCCACTGGTAACTAAATAATAGCTGCTTGTTCCAGAAGGCTAGGTAGCTGGTGGAACGTGAACATGGGGACAGACGATCAGAATGTTTGCACGTGGCTTCTGTTTAGGCTGTTTCTCCCCCCAAATATAAAAGAAAAAAACTCCAATTGACTTTAGCCTCCAAAACGCTCATCTTCCAAAGCCCATTGCTGTCAAATGAGAGAGACCCATTGCTTTTGCCGGCCATTAGTTCAGGCCGTGAGTTCTCTCAGAACCTGCCCCTGAGCCTGTGGTGATCTCCGCCTGGGAGGGCTTCAGACTCTGGGGAGCCAGAAGTAAATTATTTTTCCTACTGTGCTGAAATCAGCTGGTGTAAAAAGATCCACCGCTGAGTTACACCAGCTGAGGAGCTAGCCAAATACCTAGTCACAGAATCTGAGGCCCCTTCATGGTGAATTCATTTAATATCCTTGTCGCTTCAATTTCCAGTGTTGCTCCATTGCAGGGAACTTTAAATTAAACTGAACTAAAATAAAACGCAAGCTTCCAAGCGTTGGTGCTGTTCTCCTTAGTTTGACAGGAATGTGGGGACTCACTAGGGCCTGTGCTGGATGGCTCACTTTCCAGTGACTCCAGTTTTGAATTTAATTATTCACTGGGCATGAAATTCACCTCACCAGCATAGAGCCTGGGTATTCAGGCTCTATACAGAGATGCTGGGGACATGATAATTCCCCCTCCACCAACCCAAGGACAAGATGTGGGCCTGCTGCACAGACAAGCTCCTATTCCAGCACATAGAATAATAGCGGAAGCCCTTATACATTGGGTTTGAAGGATATGAGGGCCAGTCAATCTGCATAACCTCAGATCTGCAGACACTACTTGGCCACCACAATTGGTGGACTTCAATTCTGGAGTATGTGGGCCCAGCCCAGAGATGTGTCATGTATGTACGCACTGTGCTGAAGTGGTACAGAATGTTCTACACCAGGAATGAACTTCTCCCAGGGAAGTGTGTTTTCAGAAAAGACTGAAATTAAACTCTTCCTGCTACATCTGTTTTCGCTAATAAAATGCTGTAGTGGCTGGAACAAGGTTCAAAATTAGTTCCTTTTGGGGCTGTAGCTCACAGAGGTTGTAGTTGGGTTCAAAATATCAACTATTAACGATCTTATTTCAGGCCCAAGCTAACCTTCTGAGTCATGCCTGCAAACAGTGTGTGTGCAGATATTGCATCTTCCATTCCCAGTCCACATTTGCACATTCAAACTGGGATTGTCGACCCAAATCCCGTATTTGTGGGTGGAGTGGGCATATATGGAAACTTTTTCCTATGCATTTGAGCAAGGTGGTTGGGAAAACATGGCCATTGCTGAGCAACGGTCCTATTCTACAAGGTACACTTCCACTCCCTTTAAGTTCAGCGGGGTCTCATAGTAATGTCACATGGTTATATTCTCTATATTTGTGCCACCATCACATTTTGTTTATTCTTTGGATGTATGAAGGTTCTAAAGATGAAAGTAAAGAAATGGTAGAAAACGATACAGAAGGTAGTACAAAAAGTAAAAACAAAAATACCTTCAGAATAATTGTCAAAAGCTTTGCTATTTAGTGCCTTTGACATAATTCTCAATACTGTGCTCTCAGTATCAGGAGAGAGAAATTTCAGTCATCAGCACAGATTACTGCAAATGGCAGCACATAAGTAAACAAGTATATTTAAAAGACAGAATTAAAATTAAGTTCTAACATATATTGACAGGTTTCAGAGTGGTAGCCGTGTTAGTCTGTATGAGCAAAAACAAGAAGGAGTCTTTGTGGCACCTTAGAGACTACAAATTTATTTGGACATAAGCTTTTGTGGGCTAGAACCCACTTCATCGGATGCATGGAGTGGAAAATACAGTACCAAGTATCAATACATGAAAAGATGTGAGTTGTCTTACCAAGTGTGAGGTCAGTCTAAGGAGACAATTCAACTGACAGCAGGATACCAAGGGAGAAAAGTTCTTCAAAAGTTATTTTTCCTCCCTTGGTATCCTGCTGTCAGTTGAATTGTCTCCTTAGATTGACCTCACACTTGGTAAGGCAACTCACATCTTTTCATGTATTTATACCTAGTACTGTATTTTCCACTCCGTGCATCCGATGAAGTGGGTTCTAGCCCACGA